CACACTCTCACCACCAGGTGGCGACGGCTCGGAGTGAAGGTGAGAGGGTCCAAACGCTCAAAGCAGGTTGGGGCGTTGTGGGTGAGGTTTTGACTCGCTTCAGTCCCCTCCTTGGGGATGAGCCATGTCCCCCCACCACCTGCGCTCCTACCAACTCTACAATTTCCCTAGAATCGGCTCACTTTTTAAAGTTACGTAAATGACCTTAAGAAGGAAAGTGTGTGTTCTACGTTAGCGGAGACAGCAGCCTTACCTGCCCTGCAGAGGCGGAAGCACGACGTAAGTTCACGGAAGATGCGGCGACGTTGTTCGCTTCCGACCAGGTGTGTTTGCTGAGCCTGAGGAGACCAGCGCGGGGAGGCCCGTGTCAGGGCTACAGGCCGCGTCCCGACACGGAAGCCCTCCGACTCCGGGGGCAGCGCAGGGGCTTCAGGCCACCCCTGCGCCTGAGGAAGCCGACTCCCAGCAGCCCTCGATCAACGCCGGCCGCGCTCAAGCCTCACGCTTCATTCTCCCCACTTTACAGACGAGCAAACTGAGGCAGAGGCAGGCTGAGACTCTCCCAGACCACAGAGCTGGCGCGAAGCACACCGGGCTCGGGAGCCAGGCGTAGCCCCGCAGCCCAGCCCCACACAGCCCTGTTGATGGAGGCGCGTGTCTGCAAAGACTTAGTGTCGCCCACGTGCGCTGAGACGCCAGGTTTGCAGCAGAGAGAGGGCTTATTCACGAGCCGCCAAGGGAGAAGACGGGAGAGCAAACCTCAAATCCCCCTCCCGGAAGGCGAGGGGCTGGGGTATCTATGGGATAAAGCTGAGGCTGCGGAGGAGGGAACGGTGATTGGACAGAAGAAAAAGGTGCGGAGCGATCCTTCCGCTCCAGGCTTCTTCATGGGACGCATGCTCAGAAAAAGGCCTCATTAACATCTTCGGAGGGTGGAGTTCGGAGCCTCTGATGTCAAAGTTCAGGGAGCGGACACTCGCGCAGGCCCAGTTGGAGGGTCGGTGGTCCTAACCAGTCTTAACCGGCTCGAGCTCAAACTGGACACAGATGACTCCAAGTTCCTGCGAAACAACTCAGGGAAACATCTTTTTTAGGCTCCAGGCGGCCTGGAGGAGGTGCAAGGGTTCCAGCGAACCCGTGGGGGCAGGTTACAGGTGTGATGTGTCTAGGTGATGATCGCCCTCAGACTCACAAGCAGGGTTTCTGCTTCTGCGAGAAGGAAGAAGTGCTTCGGGGGGATAGTGAAGGGTCCTGGGCCCGCAGGATAAAGGTCCTCCTCAGCGTCCTCCCTTATAACACCGTGAACGGACTAAGCCTCCAATTCCAGGTCAGGGCAGGGGAAAGGGGGCTCTGCCCCTTGTGTTTCTCATTATTTCTTAGGCACTTACCGCCTGAAACCGCCTAAGAGCCCTGCCCAACTTTCAGTCGCACCTGCTCTGTGAACAGCGCCCAGGACACTTCCCGTGTGGCCACCATGGTCCCCCGGAGCTGTTGGGCTCGTGGGCAGACACACAGCAAACAGCAGCACCACTTACTCTACTGGGGGAGCGGTCCAGGAGAGCTTCCTGGAAGAGGTCATGCCCTAGGTGGATCTGAAAGGATGGAGAGTGCCAGGTGGAGTTTGCGGGTGGGCTCCAGAAAGAGAACGGCCTGTGGTGGGGAGAGGGGACGAGGATGGCCTGCTATGAAGCTTCCGGTTACAAGGCAATGACAGGGCAGGCTGGAGAGGAGGCCAGGGAGGACCCCGCTGAGGAGCTGATTTTAACCTGAGGACACTGAAGATGAGGTCAAACCTCTGTCAGCAGAGGCGGAGCCCGGCACCCAGGAGACAGCCGTCCTAGAGAGAAGCGGATTGGCTGGAACCAGCGGAGACATGGTCCCCAAGGCTGACAGATGCTTGTTACACCTGCTCTGTGCCAGGCACTGGTGTGTCCTAAACAGCGGTTACCCTTCTGAAGTTCGCATCCAGTGGGAGGAGACATTTCATAACTGCGCGCAAAATGTAAACAGAACATAATTTTAGGTCCTGCAAAATGCTGTGGAAGAGGCAGAGAAAGCAGAGGCATTTGGAGGAAGATGTGGACTTAGGGGGTGGGCTTTCCAGAAGCGCCGTGTTCTAGGCATCTGTAATCTGATGGGAAGGGTCCAGTGAAGCAGGAAGGGCGGTGGGAGTGGGCTCACTGCAGCAGCCATGACCTTGAACCGGTGAAGGGGGCAGAGTTCAGAGCTCAAGAGCAAAGTCGGCCTTTGTGTTCATCTTCTCTTGCTGCTGTAACCAAGCCCCGCCAACGAAAAGGAGACCGCAACAAAGTCCCCTTGTGCTGCGTCTCTCGCTTCCTCTTCTGCACCAGCCGCAGAAGGCTGTCTGCGTCTAAGGGCTCCCACGTTCAGCTCAGGCCTCCTGGAAAACCTCCCTCTTTCGGGGTTAGCCGTCCCATGAAACACAGCCCTGAGGTTGCACCATATTCTCTGGATCCAGGGATCAGGCTGTGGGATGGTGGGGGCCGTTCCTGGGGATTCCTACAGGAGCAGGAACCCCTTGCGCTGGAGCAGGTGGGAAGGCAGGACGTGGAGGCCTGTGTGCACGCGCGCACACACACACACACACGCACACGCACATAGGATTTTTCCAGAATAAAGGAGGCCTGAGCACGTTTACAGACAGAAGGAGCCAGAGAGAGGGGCCTCCACAGGCAGGGAGGGAGGGAGGCAGGGAGGGACCTAGCAAGGAGCCCGAGAGGCCGGAGCAGGAATGCCTCAGCCTCCCCTCGGGGGAACCGTGTGGTCAGCCAGGCCGGCCAGCTCAGGCAGCCCTGGAAGCGGGTGTCCCCTCCGGAAGCCCAGAGGCTACCCCCCGCCCCGTCCCCACAAACGCCTGTTGCGGGGAGATAAGGAGAGCAGGCGAGCCCTGCATGCCCAGGATCCCCACGTAGAAGATGCATGCAGAGTGGAGCCACGTGAATGCTGGTGACCTGGGGCTGTGTCCACAGGCGCGAAAGCAGGGTCCCCAAGGCCGTGGACCCTGTGTGGCCCTGTTTGGGTAAGAAAACAATACTCACAGGACAGAAATAAAAGGTAGTCTTGCTGGATATTGGGGTTGAGGACAATTTTTTTTTTTTTTTGTGGTACGCGGGCCTCTCACTGTTGTGGCGAGGACAATTTTTATCATCTTCTTCTGCTCATCTGCAGAGGTCAGGTTTTCCACAATGAAAACGATTTCTTATTTGTGTCGCTTTTTGTGGTTTTAAGTTGTACGTGTTGAAAATAAGAAGGAAACCTCAGAGGCCCCAGAGGAGGAGAGAGCGTGGGCCCGACCAGATGAGGTCAGGTCAGGAACAGCCTGGGAGTCGCAGTGCCAACACCTGCTGCCTGTCCTGAACGTGAGGAACATGCCTGTGGGTCTGGGGTGCCGGGGGTAAAGCGCCCTCAGCCCCCTGACTTTGATTTCTCCTGCCCAGCGCCGTGACCTCCGGTGCAACGACCCTGTTTTAAGAACAAGGATCAGCTGGAGAGGGTGCGGGCTCCCTCCCTCCTGCTGGGGTGATACCTGGTCCTGGTCACGGTCCAGTGTCCCCTCGGCTGGCAGCATGGCAGCTCTGGGCCTCAGTTTCGCTCTCCAGCCCGAACCCTCTGAGTTTTAGAGGGTTTACAACCATCCGGACTGGGGGCCCGAGACACGTCCTTGGCTGACACTGGCCACAGCCATGGGGGATGGCCAGGGGTCCCTCTCCTCAGCAGCGCCCCACTCTGGGCTCCTCTCCTGGGCCCCTCTGGTTGCTAGAACCCCTTCTCCCTGTTCCCAGAGCATTGCTATACCCCAGGGGTTCCCACACCTCAGTCCCCCCAGCCCGCCACGGGTGCAACTTTTGCCGTCTCTGCAAATCCCTTATTGACTAAGTTAATATTTCATATTGCTGCCATTTTTATAACTTCTAATAAAAAGCATACATTAATGTTTTAATTTCCCAATATAATTCTTTGTAATATTTCACTGTTCAGCTTGATTTTAATTCATATTTTATAACGTTAAAATATAATTAAAGATACATTTATCTTTTATAGAGAACTTTATATCACTAGCATAGATGGGAAGCTGATGTCACTCCCCAGAGTAGAATGTCGCTATAGAAATAAATACAATGCACATACGACTATGGTCTTGACTTCTAGCCTGAGACTGATGCAGCTCTTCGTCAAAAAGAAGGATCAGAAAGTGTTGAAAGGCGCTGAAGATGCAACGGCACCCTCCTCCTGGAAGCCTTGCACACCTTCTGGGACCGGGGCCCCCCTTGGTTCTCCCGCACACTGAGGATCATGGGGCACTGGCGGTGCAGTGAGAGGCACTGTACCCTTCCATAAACTGGGCTTGACCTGCGGTTCTGTGCGCAAGTCCCTGGGACCCCGAGGGCCCCCACTTCTGGAGATAGGCCCTCTGGGGGCTGCACACAGGGATAAGCCAGGCCGTTTTCACCATTTCCTTCCTCCTGCTCGGGCAGGGGCTGCCATCGGCTGCCCCACACAGAGCGATCACTGTGGCCTCAGCCAGGACAGCTCAGGCCGGGAAAGGGGCGCCCCGCCAGCAGGCCTGAAAGGTAAGCGGCCCTCATCACCCCACACCACCTCCCACTGTGTGGGCCCCTGGCAGGGGAGGCGGTGGGACCAGGCCGGGCAGGGAGAGAGGAGGCCAGCAGGCAAGTCCAGCTTCTGTCCCTCCTTGGGGCGGGGGGCACGGGCAGGCGTTCGCCCTGAGACACCAGGTCCTTGGCTGAGTCAAGATTCATTGGTTTATTCAACAAACGTTCATCGGATGCTTGTCTTCGCGAGGGGAAACAGCCCGCACTGAGTCCTGGAGGGGCACTGGACCAGGCAGAAAGCAGAGACTTGAGTGCCAGTGTGGTCTCTGACGTGGAGCGCTGGGCAGCCCTGCACAAGTCACTCTCCGTCTCTGGGCCTCAATTTCCCAACTCCAAGCATGAGCCTCGATCAACAGCTTTCCAGGCTCAGCCCCTTCTGGGTCCCCTTCCCTATGCCCCCGTCAGCGTCCTCAGCCAGCTGCCTTCCACACCAGAGACCACTTGTGAGAGTTCACTCCGCTGGGGCCAAGCTACTTGGAATCCGTGGACCGAGGTGTGGTCTGTGGCGTGCACACCATCTGCCAGACCAAGGCTTGAGGGTGGGTGTTGGGAGCAGCCTGGGAGGCCCTCCCCGGCCTCGGGGCGGGGGCGGGGCCAGGCCTGGGATTCTTTAGCAGGCATCTGCTCCCCCCACCGCGGAGTACAGGCTGGGTCTCTGCCAGAGGACGGGAGGGTCCTTCCTCTTCCCAAGGAAGGACTAAGCCCGCTCCGTGCTCCCACCGCAGCGGCCGTCACGGTCCTGCCTGCTGACCATCCGGGGAGGGTCAACCGGCCTGGACCCCGCACGCTTCACTTCCTTGATCCCAGCACCCATTTCACGGAGGAGACAGCCCGGCCGGAGAGGGAGGTGAGTGGTCCCTTGTCCGGTCGGGTCCCACCAGCCCTTGGGTCGGGTGCAGGCCGCCAGGACCTCACGGCCACTGTCCCCGCAGCCCGTCCTGCCCGATGTCCATCTGGGCTGCCCTGCTCTTGATCTGGGCGGCCGCCGAGGCCTCCGAGGACTGCCCCGCCGCGTGCGCCTGCCGCGCCTTGGACACCATGGGGCTGCTGGTGGACTGCAGGGGCCGGGGACTTGCGGTGATGCCCGCCCTCCCGGCACATACGCGCCACCTCCTGCTGGCCAACAACAGCCTGCGCTCAGTGCCCCGGGGAGCCTTCGACCACCTGCCTCAGCTGCAGAGCCTCGACGTGGCGCACAACCCCTGGCGCTGCGACTGCGGCGTCACGTACCTGCGCCTTTGGCTGGAGGACCGCGCGCCCGCGGAGCTGCTGCGCGTGCGCTGTGGCGGCCCCGGCCCCGCCTCCGGCCGCGCGCTCGGGCAGCTCAGCGGCTCCGAGCTGGGCAGCTGCGGCTGGGTCCTGCGGGCGACCTGGGCCGACACGGGGCCCTGGTGGGACGCGGCGCTGGCCGTCGTGGCCGCGCTGGGCCTGGCTCTCCTGGCGGGCCTGCTGTGCACCGTCTCCGTGCCCCGAGCCTGAGCCGGGGCCCCCCGGGTCATCGCGGCCCCGGCCCTGGGCATTCCAACCACCGGTAGCTCAAAATAAACCAGCGGCTCAGCCGTTACCCAGGCTCGGAGATGTTTCCCTCTTAGCACCCGAGTCTGTCTCATCCTGGAAACCTGCGACCATGTTTGTTTTGACAGATATTGACTGGGGCTTCTCTATCCACCAAGTTCCTAGCAAAATGGTGTATCCCACTTCCACATCTCCTCCAGCCACCCCCAATGCCACCATCTCTGGACACCCCGGGCACTTCCCCAGGTCCCGGGAGTCCCGTTCTAACACCCTCCTGGCTGCTGGCGCAGACGGACCGCCAGACAGTCCAGGCCACTCTCACATCAATGTTCTAAGTTCCACAAAAAACCTTGTCCTAACAACGCAGCAGCGAACAGACCCCAGGTGGGAGGAGAGGAGACATACCTGTGACAGACCTTGGAAGGCACATCACTGTTCCCAAAATGGGCTTTGGCCACCCTGACCTGGCCATGAGGCCACCTGGCCTCACCCCGCCCCGTCCTTTGTCGTCATCTCTCTCTCACTCTCTCTCCTTTTCCTCCTCTCTATGCCTCTTCTTCAGAAACAAAACAACCAATTCCCCCTTTTCTCATGGAAGCAAGTCCCCTCCGGATGCTGGCATCAGACACCTGCAAACTCTGGGCTCCCACCTCTACCCTAAGCAACGGTCACCAAAGTCTTCAAACAAGATGCTTCTCTCCCTCAGTGGGTTTCTGGTGCCAGCAGTTAAAAGCTTAAACTTTTTTCCACCATATGAGATAATAATTTCAGATCCATCACTGGCCAGCCCAAATCCAATATAATTATACCAAAGATCCCCCCAGCAAGGAGGTCCACATAGTGGGGCTGTGGGTCAGAGGGTGCCACGAGGGAGGCCAAGTGGGCACCAGGCGCCACCGGAGGGCAGTGACCCACAGAGGTGAGGCTGGACCAGGAGCCCCAAACTTGGGGCTGGTGGACAATAGGGAGTGGTGGGGACTGTGGTAAACCAGGGATCCCACGTTCCATCCAGAGGCCCAGTGGAATGTTGCCACGTGGAAAGGTGGCCAGGTGCCCGTTCTTACAGAGAGGTTGGAAGAAGTTTATGTTAAACTGAATTATTTAAGCATTGGCAACTAAATTTAAATTTTTTAAAAATATACATCAACGGGACAAATAAAACATATGAATCAACATGAATAGTCCGGAGGCTGAGAGTTTGGTTTCTGCATTAGGAATCAGCTGGCATCCACTCGCTGGGCACTTAATATGTGGGAGGCTCTGCATAAAGCCCCCCCACACGGGCCTTTCTCCTGTACCCTGTGAACCCTGTGAGGAGGTGCTGTCCTCCTGCCCCGCATGGAGGTGGACTCAGGCCCAGGCCCGTGGTCACTTCACAGGCACAGGCCAGACACATCCCCCATCAGACCTGAGAAGCGCTCCCTTGGAAGCTTCCTGGCCCTGGGCCCTCAGAACTGAGCCCCTTCAGCCTCAAGTCCCCAAGTGGGGTGCCCCTAAATTCTGCCCTGCTCCTTTCTGGGGGGCCGTCCTCCCGTGACCCCCGTGGCCCCCTCACCCACGGCTGCGGATCAGGGCTGAAGCGGCAGGGCCCATGGCGCCGGCCTGTGGGGAGCACAGAGAGGACGCCCGGGAGTCGGTCCAAACCCGCCGCCGAGTCTTTTCCTCCAGGTGAGGAGAACCCACAGCAGAGGCCGCAGCTCCAGGCAGAGTGGGGGGGCTCCCCACCCTCGGGAGGGGTCCTGGGCGTGTCGGCAGAACAGTGTAGCTGCCTGGTCAGGCGAGGGTGGGGCGTGGCCGTGGGGGAGGTGACCTGGGGCTTCAGAGCTGGGAGGGGAGGGCAGGGCACAGGACTGGGCCCCGGGGTGGGGGTGGGGGTGCTTCACTTCCCTGGAGGCAGGGCTGGAGGCGCCCCTCGGCCGAGCCCCTGGGCAAGTGTGTGCCGGGAGCAGAGAGGGTCAGGCAGGGCTGGAGCGCTGGGAGCCCCGGGGGCCGGGCAGGGTCAGACTCAGCCCTGGGACCCACACCCAGCCCGGGGCTGGCCCCAGGCAGGGGCTCAGGAGCGAACTTAGTGGGGACTTGGAGCAGGTCCCTCTGGACACCGGCCTCAGGTGCCCTGTCTTAAAGGCCAGGACTGGACCTGGTGCCGTCCGAGTTCCCCCCGGGTCTGGGCAGTCCCATGGGGTGGGCAGAGGCGAGGGGGGGCCTTGGGACAGCCAGCCCCTGGGGAGCGTTTGGAGGGCCCAGCTCAGATGGCCCAGTTACAGGGTTTTCATCCAAGGGTCACTCAGGTGGGGCTCCTCGCATTCAGTGTGAGTAGGTAGTTCAAACGACAGGTGTTTCTTGTCCCTGGAAAGATGGATGGCAGGTGCCTGGAGTGTGGCCCACCTGGACCATCCCTCTCCTTCCCACCCACCCACCCCACACCCGGCTCCCCAGGCCTCGCAATGGCTTCCTGGGATGGGATGCAGGCAGTGCAGGGATCAGTGTCCCGAAGAAACCAGGCTCTGGTGGAGGAATGCCTCGTCCAAGGTCACAAACCAGCCTGGGTCGACCTGGGGTTTGAGTGGAGGCTGGTGTGACCCCCAGCCTGTCAGCCTGTCTTGGGGGAGGCTGGGCAGGTGGGCACAGCACACCTGGTGCCCTGAGCGGCTGTGCCCTCCCATCAGCAGGGGCCCCCTCTGTGAGGGACCAGGGACAGGCTCCACTGATCTCGGGGGGCTGTGGACTCATGGGGTCCCTGGGGTCAAGGCTCTGGTCCAGGTGCTCAGCAGCTCTCTGAGCGCCTACCGTGCGCATGGGTCCGGGCTCGGCGCTGGAGAACAGTGATGAGCGAGACCCATCCTGCCCTGCGGGACCTCGCAGACCCTGACTTGCAATAACAGCTGTACTTCCTCATGGCTGCAGGACTCAGGCAGGGAACTCCCTACTCTGAGCATGTCGGCTCATCTGAATAAATCCAGGGTGGAGGGATGGTAACACGTGTGTGCCTCGCAGCGTTGCTGGGCTGGTGCTCCTGGCGTTCACCAAGTAGCACCTCCCAACCTGCCTCCCCAACATGAAACCAGATGAGGGATCCTGGGGCCCAGAGAAGTGCAGTCTCACCCAAGGTATCCCTGGCAGAGATGGGACCCAACCCCAGCTCCTCCCTGCCCCTGAGGCACTGTCTGCTTCTCCGTCCAGGGGTCCCGATGGTCTTAACAGGGCTCTGGGCAACAGACAGGCAGGGGGCAGTGTGTGGGCCTGGAGGCCAGTCGGGGGAGCCGGCCAGGCAGGTGGGACATCTATGGATCCGTGGGCACTGGAGCCAGCTCTGAGCTCCAAGCCAAGAGAACCAGTCTGGGCGCCGCCGGCTCGTTACAGAAACGTTTAATAGTTTAGGAATGCGTACACTCTGGCTCTGCTAAGTCTCCATAAAGGCAACTTTTCCATGTTTTAAAAAATAGATTCGCTATAAAGATTTATATATTCATAAATAGGCAATGTGAAAAATCCCCAAATGCAATGGCATCCTTGGGCTGAGGCCCTCCCCACCCCAGCCCAGGTGCAGGCTCAGAGGTCTCTGAGGCCCCAGCCTCGGCAGCCCTCCGGGGAGAAGTAACTGCATTCAATGTGAATTAGGAATTTCCTCCAGCTTCACGCCTGCTGGGGCCTGTGTCCTTGAGCTCCACCCCAACACCCACCCGCCCTCTGGACCGGGCCCACCTCTCTGGCTCAGGAGTCAGGATCCCTGTCCCTTGCTTGTCCCCCTCCCGGGAGTATAAAACACCAGCCTTCCTCTGGTCCTTCAGCCCAGGCCACAGACCGCCCTCCTCCGCCCGATGGCTGGGACACTTCCTGGCCCTCCTGCCGGGCTTCCTCTCCTGGCCCCTGACCCCTGACCTCACCTGCTCCTGTTCTTGGGTAACTTATAAACAAAGGAAGAGGCCCTGGGAGAGGAAGAGGCGGGGCCGTGCTGTCTTACACACTTCCCCGTTGTCCCTTGGCCAAGTCCATCCGTCCGGGCCCATCTGACAGAGGACTTAGGCCCAGAGAGGTAGTGAGGCCCCTACCTGCCAGGGCACCCCAGAGCAGGCAGCCAGCAGTGTGCCCAGGGAGGCCCTGAGCGCTAGCATTTGGCTCTGAGACGGAGGACGGGAAGCCTCCGTAGGAAATGGCTTCAGCCCAGGACGGGAACCTCGCAGGCCAAGGGTGGGTAGGGAAGGAACGCATTCTTGCCAGGGGGTACGATGAGCAAAGGACCAGCTGGTCGTCTGTGGGATTCTAAATGGCACGTATTCAAGGGCAGGGTCGGTAAGGGGGGCAGGGCAGGAAGGGGTCTGCCTGGACAGAAGCTGCTCCTGTGGGCAAGACGGTGCAAGGGAGAAGGAACGGAGCTGTGTGAGGCCTTGGACACCCGCGTGAGGATGGACATCCTGAGGGCCCGGGGGCGACTGGAAGGTGTCAGGATGGGGGAGGGACCTTTCATAGCTGCCCCCCTCACAGCAGCAGGATGGTGCCTGGGCTGGTGGAAGCCCAGGCCAAGGAGGTCAGGGAGGCATCCAGGGGAGGGGATGGGGCCCATCTGGGCAGAGGGGCCGGGGGCACGGTTGTAGGGTGGGGGAGAAAGTGGGGAGCCCGAAATGACCCCTGAGTTCTAGGCTACAGCCCTGGAGCGAGGCTGCTCCGTGCGGAGGATGGGTGGCAGGAGACCCACTGGGCCCTGGGATTGTGAAAGGAGAGAGTGAAGTGCTGCTTCCTTGGTTCTGGGTGAGGAAGGGCCACCGTGAGGCCACCTCCCCTGTGCAGGGTTCCGGGCACAGGAGTAGGGGGATGGCTCACAGCCCAAGGTGGCAGGTGAGCCCCTGTCACCGGTGTTTCCTGTACCTGTGCACCCTGGATGCGGACTGCCGGATGCTGCCGGCAGCCCGGCAGGGCTCCTTCTGGAGGAGGTGAGCTGGGGGCCTCCCTCCTTCCCTAAGCCCTGTGAGGCAGCCCTGGGCCCGGGGTCAGTACCTGTGCTCGCTGGAACTGGGGCGCAGTCCCGGCCGCTGCTCCTTGCGTGCACCCCACCCCCC